AAAAAAAAAAAAAAAAACACATTTCGTTCCGTCCTCACTGCGTAAAAATGGTAAGCTTTTTGATGAACGCCCATGTGCTCCTTTTTTGACCATTAATTTTATGTAAAAAAAAAAAAAAAAAGTTGCAATTAACTAATTTTTTAATCAAAAGTCAAAATTTTGTGCGGGAAAATACGTGCAAAGCTGCAATTTAAATATTTCATTGTTGGTGCAGAGACTGTGGCGCATGTGAAACGGGCTTCCTTCCCGGACGCCAATTCCTGGTCGAAACAGACACCATCAAATAGTTTTATTACCCTTTTTGTGTTGCTCAACGTTTTGTTCCGATCGAATGTGATGCAAATGTGTGGATTTGAATGGAAATGTCGCCTCTCCCAGGGCAACAAGGTCACTACTATCCGGGACTGTTCCAGCATCTCATTTATCCTGCTCGTCCGGCCAACTCCTTGTTTCCGATCCGTTTCCATGGGAGCATCCACCAGCGATACCCTCACTTCAAAAGCCGCCTCGTAAAAGAAGAATTTCGAGAGATTGGTCGCCTCGCACTAACCAAAAAAGCAGCTTAGCGATTCCGCCCTATGAAAAAACGATTCATTTAAAAAAAAAAAAAAAAACAAAAAACCCTCATTTCAACTTTAAGAGTCTACTGGGATTTCCTTCTTTTAAGCCTTTTAAATCGTCTTGTGCTCTAAAAAAAAAAGCCAATAAAATCTGAGTTTGTTAAATTACAGGTGCTTTCTGCTTTCGAAAAATGCCGTCCTAGATCCAGCAAATTTGGAGTGGATGATGGAGAAATGGTTTTTTCCAGAAACCGGAAATGGATTTTCGCTTTATAATTCGTCAGCAGTAACTTTACGGAAATAATTTCCAATCACAAGAACTCAATTCCAACTACTACAGAGAACTTCATTCCTGCCTTTTTCAATCTTAATAAAAATTGGATTTTTGTTCAACACTAGCTCGAGCATAATGCCCGAGATCAGTGTTCACTCAGATATTTCGTTACAAAGAAAACATTACGCACCATTTTTCTCGACAACCACAACATCATTACCGAACTCTTTCAAAAAAAAGGCTATACTTCAAATTTTACTCATTTTTTTTTATTCTATTCATTATTTACTAATCGAAATTCAATGAAAATAAAGCCCCTACATAACTCACCCTCCCTGCGAGACGCAGGTATTCAGAAAGAGCTCGAGCAACAGCATGTACCAACAGCAACAATGCGCTGACAGGGCCGTCGATGGATCTCTTTTTCTACCGCTGCTTAGAACTAAGCTAATGGCGGTTCACTGGCATATGCCAGCACCAATTTACGGTTAGGACGAATGACGGAATCTTAAATAGACTGCTTGTCCCACTGACAGAATCGAACCTACGACGCATTGCAGAGAAGTAACGCAACTTATCATTTCTTCAACAGCGCTAGCTTAAGCCGAATGTAGCAACCAGGTTGACCATGAAGCCTAAATGGCGAAGGCGCGATAGATTACAGCATGAAAGAACAGTATGAGAAAAGAAGGTAAGAGTGAGATAAGACGTTTCGGCCCACTGAGTCATATACGTCTTAACACCACGCCACCGCAGGACTTCGTCAGTATGACGGTCGCAATGCTTATCAGAAAGGGAAAAGAAAAGAGGACGATAGGAAGAAACAGAAGGAAAAACAATATGATTGTGAGATTAGAAGGAGTAAGAGTGGGGTGAAGAGGAAAAAAAAAGGAGAAAGAATAGGATTTTAGGAGAGGTTTTTTTAAAAAAGTTATTTTATAAAAAAAAGTTATTTTTTATAAAAAGGTTCTTCACACATTTATTAAATGGTTTTTTAAATCTACTATTGTTTTTTCGCCTTGTCTAAAACACCACAGCTGAAGGAATTTTCTGTTTTTTAAAATGTGAACATCGACAGTGCATACCATCAACAGAGTAACAGCTGAGAGTCCAGACTGCCCCGAACAAGATTAAAGAGTTGCAAGATCGGGGAAGAATGTGAAAACTGTTTTTCAAAGACCCGGAATCAAAAGTACAAGAAACAGCTGCACTCTTCATGCAACTATACATCCTGGCGACAGACTGTAATTACGAATTTCTCATTTCAAGCTTGATGAAGCATTGCTGCCTCAAATTCATCAATTTTTAATGGCCTGACTTCACGCAAGATTGATCATGCACCTATGCAAATGCAGCTTAATGAGTTCACTAACTCAAAACTTGCCGCTTGTTGTCACGCAATATTTGCATGTGGCACCTCGCTCAAAAAATAACCAGAAGAAAATCAACTTGGATTCCTGCATGGTCCCAGACTGATTCGCTTTTTTTCCAACACTAATTTATTTGAATAGT